CTAGAAATGTGCACAAAATGGGTAAATCTGGTGCGTGAAGAGCTCACAGCAAATAAATGAACAGAAGATTTCTGTGCAGTGCTGAGCCAGTGAGACTGATACAATTATGAAATGTGGGAGCTGAAAAGATGCTGCTGCAGAGTCTGAGGCTGCAACAATGAGAGCAGCTCTGTTTCCATCCCTAAAAAAGAGATTGAAATGCTAAAAATGTGGAAGAGAACCACAAAAATTATGTGAAACTGGAAAAAATCAGATTGCACCATGACAGAGCTGAATCTATTTAGTCTGTCCAGAAACTGATCAAGAGTGACTTTGGTTACTGCAGACCTTTTATAGGAGAGGAGCAGGGACTGGAGAGGTATTTTATTAGCAAAAGAAATAAAATTATGGCCAATGACAAGAAGCACAAGTCAGACAAATCTAAATTCAAAGTCTCTGATTTTTAATAGTAAGGATGATTAACCACTGGAAAAAAATGACCAAAGGGAGCAGTGAATTTCTCCTCCTGAAGTCTTCAAATGGAGACTAAATGCTTTTCCTGAAAGAATTGCTGCTATCCTGGTGAAATCCACTGGCCCATGCCCAGAGGAGCTCAGGTGTGATGATGTGATGGCTCCTCCTGGCCTTAGGAGTTCATTACTGTGGGGCTGGGAACTTCAATTCATATTTGGGAAGGAACAAGATCTACTTTAAAGCAAGAATAAAACCTGTGTAATGAAAACCAAGAACTTCACCCTTGAGAAGGGAATAGCCCTCTCAGCTCATACACTGGTTTTTCCTGTGATGGAAATGCAGGATTTTCCTCAGACATGTCTTGGACACTTATTAAATGCCTCTTTTTCCATTAGGTTAAGGATTACCTCCTTGTAATTTCACATTTATTGTTCTACCTTGTGTGCATGTTGCCCCCACCCAGCAAATAACTTCACATCTTCAAAGTGAACTGAGCTACAAATATCAGCTGGTTCCTGAGAATAAAGCCCTAAAGAACATTAAACACTGCCTTGTCCACATGAAAGAAAGAAAAAAAGCAAAGAGCCAAACCAAAAACCCCAAAAACTGCTGCTCCTTTCACCTGCATGTGGTGCAGCAAATGCTCCCAAGCAGCTGAATTCATCCAGAGCTTCTGTGGAAGCACCAAAGCCTCAAATCCTTTTCAGATCCTCCAGCTGCTACATGGAGCAAAGTTTGATGCTTTCAGCGAGCCATAAATTTCCCCAGGAGCTGCTGAACCACCAGGCTCAGGCTCCAGCAGCCAGGAAAAAGAAGAGGCCACAAGGATTGGGAGGGAATTTTCCTGATCAGCCTCCCAACTCCCGACTGAGAAGATCAAAAAGAGCTTCTAAGTGCTCCCTCATTAACAACCCGGCCCCAAATGAGAAAGTCAGGCACACAGGAGTGCTGGATTTTTCCTAAATTCTCAGCCTGGAGGAGCTGCAGCCTTTTGTGCTGAAGAATTTCCCATTCATGTTCAGCGAGGTTCCATGCAGACATCAAAGGAAAAACATTAAATTTCCCCAGCAAGCCTCGGGCTAACTTCAGAGGATACATCACTGAGTAATGTTTAGCAGTTGGATCACAGTTAATTCAGGGAAAAAAAGAAACTGCAGGACGCCCACAAGACATTCTCCACATATTTCCATAATCGGGGACATTTCTGCTGAATTACTGCTCGCATAGCACAAAAAATCAGCACCCAAGACACTCAGTGGCATCTTTGGCCTGGATCTTTCTGCTCTTGTTCCCATCCTCCTTTAAGGGCACCAAGTACATGTGGATTCCAAGAGGAAGAGCTGAACTAACTCAGACTAGGTAGAAATCAGCATCACCCCTGCCAGTCTGAAAACTTTGTTAACTTTTCTGTTAAATGTCTGTTTTGTTGGCTGTTCCCCTCAGGCCTCACTAGAAAATGATGTAGAAGAAAAACTCCTGTGTCTCCTTCCTGGAGACATTGATTATGGAATACATATTTTTCTCAAACATTCTAAAAACTATGGGAGATGTTGTGCCTGTAACAAGAAGTACCTTTCACTTATTTGTTTGGCATTGAAATATAATTTTTAAGTACAGTTGCCTGGCACGGTGATTTTGTTTTTACATTAAAATCAAAGAGGGCTGGGACACCCTGTACTAATGTGGAGGAGCAGACAGAACCTGCTCCAAAACCTTCCAAGCAGACTGGACAAAGCAGCAGCAGCAATTCAGGTGGGGAAAAGGAGGAACAAAGACATCCAGTGACTTCCTCAAGGTCACACAGGAATCTGTTGCAGGGCAGGGTTGAGTTCCCAAAGTCTCAGCCCACTTATGCACTGGAAAAAGCAGTGAAACAAGAGTATGTACTAAATTTGGCACAGCCTTTTAAATGATGCATTGCTCCAAGGGAACAAGAACCTCCACTCATGTTAAGCCAGACACCAAAGGAACACAGAAAGGAAAACGACTCACTCCACCCAATTTATCTGATCACCTTAATATTTCCTAAGTCAATAAGGCCTTTCTTGGCCAGACAGTCCAACCTACAATTTAGATCCTGTTACAAAATCAGACACACTAAACCACTTTCTCCCTTAGGCTGCAGGAGATAAAAGGCCAAGTAAGCAACATTTTGGTAACTGGCTTCGTGTAACAGCTTTGGATTTTCTTAAAAGCCTCAGCATCGATTGTTTTCTTTAAATAGCAATGGTTTATTGAGAAACCTTCTACCCCTGTTAAAGCACAAGGTTTTCCTGAAGTAGAGAAGGGAGCAAAACCTGCCCTGCCAAGGCATATTTGTCCAAGGGTTGTGGATACCTGGTGCTGGCAAAACACTTTGAAACCAGAGTTAAATTAACACTGAAGGGCTGAGAGGGGAAACTTGGGAGATGGAGAGGAAATGAAAGCATGGTCTGACACAGAACAACCCTGGGATTCAGCTCCACTTGTGTTTCATCCAACAGCTCCAGCCAGTGCTGTAAGTTGTGAGCATCCAGAGGAGCTAAAAGCTGCTGGAGTGCAGAGCAGCCCAGCTCTGCTGTGGTCTCTGCACATCTCGGGGCAAAAGGAGCACAGGAATTCATTCCATGGAGGCAAATCACCAGCACCCTGCTGTTACATAAAAGCCTGTTTTGTGGGGAATGTTTCCAAGGATGGAGTCATTTGGGCTGTTTGGATCCCATGGCACAGTCAGGTTCAGGATGAGCTGCAGCTGCTCCCATTTTTGCAGTCTCCCACTCCCTTTTCCATCCTCGTTCCTCCCTTTTTCTCTGCCACGTTTTCATGTGGGAAACCAGCACAGCAACTGCAGTGCCTGCTTCAGGGATGTGAACATAAGGCTGTCATGAAAGAACTGAAACATCTCCCCGAGCCCTTCTGCAAACTGAACTCAAACAGATAAAAAAGCCACTATTTAAGTTTGCCTGGGAAAGTTCCTCCACATTTGGAAGCCCCTTGAGGCAGGGACTGCCCTTCTGTTCTGTCAAACAGCCACTTGTACAAGCCATGATTGCACAACTACTTTTATAAGGTTTCCAATTATACAAAGAATGTGTTTTTATTCATGTTTACAACCCTGAGAAACAAACCCTGAAACCCCAAACCCTTTGCATTCAAATTCCATGACCTGCTGCTGGCTCCACCAGCGATGTGGTCCCAACTATTAATTCACACCTTGGTCTAGAATGAGCTTTTAGAAGGAGCAGATCCCAGAGCACACTGGAGTTAACACTTCCAAAAGTCACATTGTGCTTCCCTCATTTCCATATTTTAGCAGTCAGCATTCCCGGGCAGCTTCTGCCTGCCTTGGGCTAAAGAAGCTCAAATTCCAAGCAGTTGGCAGTCCTGGCATTGCCCTGCTGGAAGCTACTTAACCTGCAAAGCTGGCTGCATTGGAGCATGGACATGGAACAAGGAGGGGAAGGAAGCATCAAAGGTGAAAGCACTGGGAATGTACAGCCTTGCTTTTCCTTGGCTGGGGACCAGCTGTGTCAAGAAACAAAAGCAGAGCACAAACTTTAATCTACTGTAAAAACAGCAAGTAAAACAAAGCTCTTTCCTCATCCAGTAAAGCACTTTCTGTGTCCCAACACAACATCCAGGGCACCAAATAAAAATGCAGGCAGTCACTGCCCCATCTCAGCTGGGCACAGGAGCCTGGAGCCACCCAGCTGGCCCAAAAGGTGAAGCAATTTCACCTCCAGGGCACAGATGCTGCCACATTTACATTTCAAACCCCTTTCCAAGGGGCACAGCTCCTCTGCCCCTGGTGCTCCAAGAAGCTGAACTATTCAAGCTGCACACACAGAGCTCACAGCACCATTTGCACTCAGCCCAGCTCATAAATCTCTGGCTGTGGCTGTTTTTTCTGAGCACAGATTTTAGAAGCTGAATAAACTTTACAGAACAGTTATTCCAAGGCAGCTGAGACCTGGGAACTCGGTGCTGACCACAGCCAGGCACTGCAGGCTCCAGCAGACCCTGGGAAGGTTTAGTTTTCCCACTTCAGAACAAGCTCCTCTTGCTGGCAGGCTCCTTTTGCATCAGAACATTTACTGGCTCTGAGAGCTTTTAATTTAGTTTATCCTAACACCCCCCATGAGTTGGAAGGGACTCATCAGGATTACTGAGTCCAACTCCAGCACAGGACACCCCAACAATCCTACCCTGTGCCTCAGAGCTCTGTCCAAATGTTTCTTGAATTCAGACAGACTTGGTGTTGTGATCAAACCCTGGGGAGCCTCTTTCAGTGCTCAACCACCCTGGGGGTGAAAACCTTCTCCTGATACCCACCTAAACCTGCCCTGACTCAGCTGCAGCCATTCCCTGGTCACGAGAGTGAACAGATCAGTACACTTGTGAGGATGGTGAAGACCCCAAGCAGTTAACATAAAACCAGCAGCTCACAAATAGATCCTGTGGGCTGAGAGCCCATTTTCCAAGGAAAAAAGGCAGCTGGATAAGGCCAAGCACTTCCACAGCCACTGATGTGCAACGTGAGGGAACCATCTGCTCCAGGCAGCACCTACCTTGGAAATGAGCTCATCGTGGTTGGCCAGGTGAGCCCTGCAGTGGATGCAGCTGTAGGTCCTGTGGCACGAAGGCAGATATGCCTGGAAAGTTTTGGACCTTGTCATCTTCACCATTGGAGCCACTGAGCGCTGGCTGAAGTCGGGGGTGGCCCAGGAGGCGCTCCCGCAGGACGGGTCGCACGGGAAACAGCGGAACACGCAGGTAAAGGCCGTGGTTTGGCAGGGGATGGGTGTGTGGGGCAGGCTCCACACGCTGGTGATGCTCCAGAGGAAGGGATTTGGGCACAGGAAGCAGGGGGTCCCACAGAAACCTGCGGTGGAAAGCAGACACAACACTCAGCTCGCTGTGTCGCAGAGCGCAGGGGGATTTAGGGCTGGATTTAGGAGCAGGGGACAGGAGTGATGGCCTGGGATTAGATCAGCAGCACAGATCTTTATTCACTTGCTGGCTGCCCTCACACCTCCCTGCTGCTGTTATCTGCACCAATTCTTCCAGCACTTCCTCTGGAAATGCCTGCAGAGGTGTGAAGGGGATTCCCACCCAGCCTGATCCCCAAACCCCCCTGGGGCACCACCCCAGCTCTGCCAGCCAGGGAGAAAGTGGGGAGCAGAGCCAGCCCATGGGAAAAATGAGAGCTGGACCTGGGTTTTCTGAGCCACCAGGTAAGGGCCTGAGTCACCAAACCAGTTTTTCTCTCCATTCTGCCCTACTTTCCCCATGGGAAATGCAGGATTCCTTCATTACACTCTCCTTTAGAACTCCCTGCAAGCTCTGAAGGTAGAAGCTACTCTATAAACTGCACTCCAGTATTTTATTTTTTTTTTAATCTGAACATCTGACAGCAGCCAAAGCAAGGCACAGCCTCTGAAGACTACTCCTGATAGCAAGAGACAGTTAAAAACCCTATTCAGCATGGAAACACCATTTTACACTCCAACATCATCTGACAGCACCTGCAAGGCAGCTCAAGTCTGGGTCTCTTTTTGTTGGCAGAAATGGAGTTTTCAGATCCCACACCAATAAAAGTCTTACCAGCTACAAGTGTTCCTTTTGAGGATGGAAAAGCACAAAGGAAGCAGCTCCCCTCCCTCCCGGATCCATGGCGTGCATGCAGGCTCTACAAATTAATCATGAACTCTGGCTGCTCCTCCCAGGAGGATTTTCCTTTCTATAAAACATGTGATTCTGCTCACTTTCTGAGCCTGCACTTTGTGGGTCAAACATGGAACAACACCAACTTCACCCCTACCACCACCAGCCACCCCCAAAATAAAGAAAAGAAGGAATAACATCTTGGGAAAAGCCTGCCTCCAACACTTCCCCCAAGCCTTGCCACGGCTGATAAAGCAGATTCAAGGTACCCAAGCCATGGACACTGTCCCAGGGTGTTCAGAGCTCTGTCCAGCCTGCCTTGGACACCTCCAGGGATGGGGCAGCCACAGCTGCTCTGGGCAGCCTCTGCCAGGCCTCCCTGAAGGATTTTTTGGTGATACCTACCCCAAAGCTCCTCTCTATCAGTGTGAAGGCATTCCCCTTGTCCTGTCACTCCCTGCTCCTGGAAATATTCCCTCTCCCTCTCTCTGGGACCACACACAGAGCTCAACAGGAGGCAGAATCCTGTAAAACAACAGTTTACCCATTTCTTTTTCCCTTTTTTTTTTTTTTTTTTCTGAGTATTTTTCTTCTGCTCTCCAGGACCCAGCTCCCTCACAGTCAAATAGGAAAAAAAGCATCTTGCTCATCAGGCAAGCTGCTGATAAAGCATATCTATCACCATCATAACAGTCAGCACTTCCACAGCAGTGCTCATTCCTAAAGCTTTTTTGCAAATACCAACTAATCAGATTAACCTTTTCCAATTAAAGTTACAGCCACAGCTAAGCAGGGCCCATCCTGACACAGAAGGGTTCATTGCCCAGCCTGTGAGGAGCTCACCCCTCTCCTGTCCAGCCCAAATGAGGTTTTGCCAGGGATTTACCTGTCCAGTTGCTGAGGACTGGGCACTGTTTGCTCCACAGCTGCAGCTCTGGATTTCAGCAAGATTTGCCTTTTACACTCATCAGAGAAGGAAGATAAGTCAGTCTTCACCTGTATCCTGCCCCAGTTCTCTGTGTGCACCAGAATTTTGTCAGAACACAGTTCTGCATTAGTCAGCATTGTTTTCCCATCCAAGGTGAGAAGCACTCAAGGACTGCAGCCTAAATTAGCAACAGGGCAGAAGCCAGATGTAAACCAAAGCAGAATCCTCATTTTCAGCTGCTACAAAACCACCCCCAAATTCCAGGGCCCTGACTGAGCAGCTGATGTGTTTCATCCCAGCCCTAAGGGATCCCAGAAGCTGCAATCTGGGAGGCTCCAAGTGCAAGGAAGCCAAGTGTGCCCTTCCTGGGCCAAATGCAGCTGGATCCCTGGAGAAGAGCTGGAAGAAAGAACAAGGAAAGACTGGCAATCACTTCACCTGATTCCTGAATGAGAATCCAGATTGTGTCTAAACCTTAGGCTTGATTTGTAATGAAATGGTGCAACCCCCTCTCAGTAAAATAATCACCACTTTCACCACCTCCATCCTGCCATGCCAAACTTTCCCTTCCCCATCAGCTGGAGAAGGCACCCCCAGAGCCCAGTGGAGAGATAAATAAACCCCAACCAGAACAATATCCCAGCAATCCTTTAATTTGCTGCCTGCTGACCCCTCTGTCCAGACCTGCTAAGCATCAATGCTCCAGAACAATGAATAAACCAGGAAATACTACAGCTGCATTTATCTGACACAGCAATGAACACACACAGAGGAATTATCTGCTGCTCACAGCTTTCTGCAAAAGCAGCTGATGAGCATTCATTTATTTGACCTCATAACACATTGAACATCAGCAAAAAACATTTGACCTTTTAAAAGCAGACCAAAAAAAAAAAAAATTCAGGCGAGATGGTATCAGAGGAACTGCAATTCCTGTTCTCAGGGCTGTGCTGAGAAGGCAAACTCCATCTCTCTGCTTCAGGCAGGGCAGAGAATAAAGATTTGTGAGCCAAGATCTCGGTGGGAAGCCTTGTTAAGAAAATGCCTTGAATAAAAACTTCAGATAAGCTCAGCTATAATTTATCAAGACCACTTTGACACAGTCTGACCACATGTGCATTGTCTACCAAGAGCTCTGTCCTCACCAGTGTGGGAGAGGAGGTAAAACCTACAGGAAATGCATTTTGACATTCTACAAGCACAGCCAGCAGCTTATAAGGACCAATTTCAACCTTAAATATAATTTTGAAATGTATTCAGTGGCTCCCAGCAATGCAAAACCCAACCCCGTGGATTTTTCATGTCCTAATGACAACTACATTTGAATTAAGAGACAATTACCAGCTAACAGTGCATTTGTTCTGCTGCAGAACAAAGGCACGAGGATGAATTTGGGCTGTGCCTCTGGTTTTCAGAATGATGAGCTCATGTTCATCAGCATCACAGGCAGTGGGCAGCAGTGGAATCATTCCACTCACTTTAAAAAAGAACAAAAGAAGGTTTGTTCACTTTATCATCATGCCCAGCACTGTCAGAGAGATGAGTATCTGTCACCAGCAACATTATCCATTATTGTTCTTTTCTCATTCAAGAGAAATTTATCTCTGGGATGCACTCACTCAATTCAACGGGAGAGAAATTTGTGCCCATTAATTAATGCCCAACAAGTCAGAAAGCTGGTTTAGACAAAAGGAAAGGATTCTAAAGGAAGAACTTGCAACATCATTTATTGTGTGTTATCAGTGAGAGAATCAGCTGAATGTTTTGCTTGCCTGACTGGGTGTGTTGGGATGTCCTGCTTCACCCTGCTGAGCTCTGAGCACACATCAGCTTCCTGATGGAAAAACCACCACACACATTTTGCCATTTGGGCAACTTTTTGGTTCAGAATCCACCCTTCACCTGTGGGTGTCCAACACCCACTTCCCACACGAAGCTGTCAGCAGTTCAGGAAACACAAAAAAGGGGAGGAATTCTGTGCCAAGCACTTGCCAGACAAGGCCACTGCGTGTACAAGTCCATATGCCAGGGAACAAAACCATCACACACAAGCCTTATTTTGAATAAAATCCATTTGCAATGCAGCTCAGATGCAAATGTTCATTGTGGCAGGACAAACAACAGGTTTGTTGGGTCTGAAAGTTTTGGTTTTTTTTTAAAGGATTATTCAATTTTAAGATAAACTTCAGCCTGTGAAATACTTATTAGAATATAGCAAATGCTACAGAAAGCTGCTTGTAGCAGCTCTGAAATAATCCAGATATTTGGAAACCCAACCTTTCTCCTTTGGTGGGTCTCTTTCATTAACATAGAAAGAGTCTGAGATGTGCTGATTGCCAGTGCAAGGAAAGCACAAGAGGAATTGGGTTTGGAGAGTTTTGTGTCTAAGCTGGGTTGCCCCAGGCTCTGAGCAGAATTCTAAGAAAATTCTCAAGGTAAATACAGGCACTTAGCAGGGTTTTCTTGACAAAAACTGCCTTAAAATTCCTTAATGCAGCTTGAAGGAGGAAGGCTGGTCTCCGACTGGAGCTGGGGTTTGGTGCCCTGTTCTGCTTCCCTATGGAACAGGAGTTATCAGAGCCAGGTGCTGGACACTCAGAGACAGCTGGCACTGCTAAAGGAGCATTTTATACTCTGATGGTGACAAAATATCCTGGTTTGGGGCAGTTCTGGAGATCCACAGCTCTGGGAAAGATGAAGCAGACCGGCTGAAGGTGGGAGGGTGGGATGTACCTTGTGGAAGGTCTGGGAGGAAGGATGAGCATCCTGAATTTAACCAGGGAACAACACAAGGGGAAGCCAAGAAAGGAGCTGAAATAGCAGATGGGTGAACACAATGTGCTTCACTCCTTCAGCATCAAGTTTCTGAAATGCACCAGTTTCAAACCCTGCCTAAGGTGACACTGCAAAGAGCTCAGCACTGATTCCTGAGTGTCCTTCTCTAACACCTCAGCTCATCCTCCAAACCCCGCAAGCAGGAAAAGAACATGAGAAAACGTGGAAAACAGCCAGCAGGAACACTCTGCACTGACTTTTATCAGCTGCATGGACACAATTACAACACGAATAATAATATTTAACCCCTTTTCCTCCTCTGGGTGTCTCCTAGCAAGTGAGATCTCTTCATCACCGTGAGGAAGCACTTCATGGTTTTGGGGAAAGGGGGATGGAGGGATGGATGAAGGTGATGCTGATGGCAAACAGCATTCCAGACACCTGCCAGGAAACCACTAGAGGGCATCAGGAAGAGCTGCAGCAGGAGGCAATCCCAGCCTGGCCACAGGGAATCCGGGATGGGCAGGGTGCCAGCCCTGCTGCACCTGCCGTGCTCCACATTCCACAGCCAGCCCGGCAGGAAAAACCCCAGCACCAACCCGGCACGACTGCCAGGCTGCTTCTATTAATCACCTTTTAAAGGCTGGGGTTTGGTGGCTTTATTCCCTCTCTAAGATCATCACTCCGTGGCTATCACAACTCTTCTTGTCAAAAAATAGATAGAGCATCCCACAGCAAACCCTCCTGGGTGTCTCTGATGGACAGGCTTCCTCTAAAGGTCACCTGGAAAGTACAGGGAAATCAGCTGAAACTTAAAAGGAACAAAGAGCAAATTTTAACACTCACTTCAGGTTAGAATTTTGTTTAAGTCTGTGTAGCTTTGTCACTGTAACCCAGTAAAAAGCCATTAAGCATATTAATATTAAATATTTTTAAATGGTTCTTTACATAGCTGATTTAGGTTCTGTCAATCTGGAGATGAAATCAAATGAAAAAGTTTCACTTATTTTAATAACCCACACCAGTGCATTTTCAGGTTCTCAAATGCAAGAAGCAAGTCCAAAAGGCTCCTGCATTCCAAGCAGGAATCCTTGTGTGAATTACAGCACTCAGCCAACTGGAAAGGGAAAGAACAGGTTAAAATAACTCTGTGAAGATCATGCAGAGGTGCTCCTTTCTGGCTCCTGACTACAGAGAGCAGGGGACAATGAGAATTTTTTGAGTTTCTTTACAGACTAAGGCTGGGCTTGGACCACTCAGTGTCAGAACTGCTCACTCATCTCTCCCCACAACCCAAAGCACCATCAGACAGCACTGGGAAGGCAGAGAAAGGAAACAATTCTGGGTATTTTAATCAAAGCCTTTCCTTTACAATTTCATCTCAAAAAGGCACAGCACAAGCTAGGACAGACATCACCTGGCTGAGGGGTTTATTACAGAAGGTTCCTTTAAACCTTTTTTTATTTAAAGGTATTATTGAAAGATTATAATTTATTACTTTTCCCAGGCCTGTCTCTGAAAGCACAGGAGCAGGGAGTGCAAGATTCAGCCTCTCCAAGCAATGACTGACACCTCTGGCTGAATTCTCTTCCCACTCTCCCCAGTTGCCTGGCAGCGATATCTTTGCAATGCAGAAGAGCCTGTGCTGCTGATAAGGAGCAGCAGGGTGAGATTACAGCTGTGAGCTGCCCACCTCCAGGTCCTTCCAGCCAAATCCAGGGCCCAGCTCCAGCAGAGGCCACTCCAGAGGTACCAAACACAGCAGGAGAAGTCGCCTGGAGAAGCAGAGATTCCGAACCAG